GAGGAAGCTGTTCTGACTATTGATTTTCTCGTGCTTTTCAGAAGTTCATTAATTCCTCTAACAATTGCTTCTTGGGTAGCTGGCTGGGTGTGACCATCACTAGCTAGCAGAATAGGGGCTGTCATGGCTGGATGAAGCCATAGCTGATAATGTAATGGAAGCAATATCGAGCTCCCTACAAATAGTGAAATACCTTCATTTTGAATATAACATTCTTACTCTTCCACAGTATGTGTAGATGCCAGAAGAGTATGAGCCAGCTGTTTCTGAAGAGAGACAAGAGGGATTAGACAAGCAGAACACTGCAAAAATTAGCCCTGTACATGAATTATTATATGGAAACTGTATGTTCAATTTTGTTTCACTAGTATTGACTGGTATTGCTGTTATGTCCCTACCAGCTATGTTAGAATTCAAAACTGTCCAGTACTGTATACCATGACTGTTACAAAGCAGCAGGCTGGAGTAAGGCTCTTAGTAATTTCAAAACCTCTATGCATGTCTCATTTTGCTGTGAGCTAGAAAAGGGTGTGTGTTGGAAGGTAATAGGCAAATCACTGTTGTGTAGAAGTTGAGTAAGGCAGTACTGAAAATAGAACAGTAACTGTAAAACTATTTCTGGTACTGTTTTTCTTGCTTATGAGTCTCTCTTCTGCCTATATTTTCTGGGAAAGATAGCTGTGATAATAAATTTGTAAGAAAAGGTTGATTTTATTCCAGAAGTAGTTATGTCATAAGAAAATCTGCACTTAGTTATTCTATATAGGATTTGGCTTTTTGTTTTGTTTTCACAACATAGGTGAAAATCACAGTAGAACTTCTAGGACACCACATAGTTTTCCAGAAGGCTACTTTGGGGATGTTTAGAGCCCTTGAATACAATTGGAGGACTGTAGTTCACAGGAGGAAAAATTATTTGTGCATTGTCTGTAACCCACATTTCTTTTATGTTAACTTTTATAGCAAGCAATACTTGTAGTCTGTCTTAGAGATAATGTTAAGGGGTAATAATAGGCAATTATTGATCTTTCAGAGAAATATTTTCTTTAAATGTAGATACATGTTATTTGCACATTTGCCTGGCTGACATCTAAGTTAGTCTGTCATACCTAGTCTGACTTAATTTGTTCTGACTGCTAAAGGTTTTCAAAATAGAAAAATCCAGGTGTTATGAAGAAACCCCTGAAATTTACTTTATTGATGGAGAATATATCTTTTCATAGATAAATGAAAGAAACCCTGTCAATGGCTGAAGCCTGTTAATAATTTTTTGTCTTACCCTATTTTTTGTATTGGTTGGTCAGCTTTTAGAAGTCTGATTTTAAGTTAGTATATTATCTCTGTTTTTTAAAAAAAATCTGCTATTTGCCTCTGTCTCATGCTCTCAGCCCCCCCGAGAACAGTTGTACTAGACTCCATCAAGTCCTCACTTCTCCTTTGCATTCTGTCTCTTCCCAAATACGCAAAACAGGGTTTGGTAGAGTGCTATGGGCTTGGTGATAGCATGTAGTCATTTCTCAAATAGCGTAAGTGTGCGCAGTCCCAAATAGCTTTGTGTAAGATATTCCCCATCCAGTAGAGTTAATTGCCAAAGTGTAATTTTTCAGCATCTGGTGTGGGCTATTTTGCTTGCCTACGTGGAGCAGATTTAACCACTGAGATGTTTTCTCCAGCTGGTAGCAGAAGTCATGAAATACTTGTAATCAGTAGGTCTCTAATAGGTTGAGGCTCCCTCTGGCGAGGGCATTGCTGAGATTTTCACAGCTAGAAGCCATTCTCTGTAGATCATTTCAAAGCCCAGAGAGGTGTGAATCCTGACATTGGAGGGAGTGAAAGGAGAAAGTTCTTCCTAAAGAAATGTCAGCTTCAGCTTTTTAGTGTTAAGATCTTCTGGATAGGTGGTTGTTGTAAAAGTGATTGCATTCAAATGTAACTTTTCACTGTAGAAATAAAAAGTAAATGGCAGCCCGTGTTAAAACAAGGTAATTCTATTTTCTGAAGTCAGTAAATCAGGAAATAGAAAAAGAAAAGCTCAAATTTACAACTTCATCTTTTTCCTTTAATGTTTATATTTTGTACTTAAAAAAAAATCCAGACTTTTAATATTGAAGATAGTAGCAGATAGTTTTCTTTTTCTTTTTTGTACTGTAAAACATTCACATGTGTCATGGGAATGTCATAAGGGATACTATGTTGTGTGCAATGGGCACTTTCACTGATGACAGACTCATTTAGATTTGTATTGCTTGAGTTCAAGAAGAGGCTGTTTAAGTGGAAGACATTTATGGTACAGATTTGGCAAATCTGATTCCATTTAATGTATAAACATGCTACCTGTAAATGCTGCCTTTTTATCACAATGCATAGCAATACTCACTAATTTTTTTCTTCAGGACTTCATCTGTAACAATTTTGCATTAGATTTTATTTTGTCAACATTGTCTTCTGGTATAAAGAAGTGTTAATGTATTTTGAAAACTTGGAGATATCAGTTTAATGGTTACTTATTAATCAGAACAAAAGCAGGCAATGACACTAGTCGGTTTTGTTTTGTTTTAAGGAAAAACAGCTGCTGTTAGGGAGGCATCATAATAAATATTACATCGGTACAAAGAATGCCATGCATCATTTTCCGGACAACCTGTGTGGTAGGGTAGTTGTTCTAGTGACAGTAAAATAAATATCAGTCTCTTTTCCTTGTCTTTTTTTTTATTTTCTTTTTTTTTTTTTCTTTTTTTTTTCTTTTTTTAATTTTTTTTTTAATAAGGTTGCATCAAAACTCTTTGCAGTCCATTCTTCTGTATCATTTCTCCTAAAGCATTAAAATCACACACGTTCAATATGTTGTTTTTTTAACCTGAGATGCAACTGTTGCAATTTACGTTTGTATTCACCACCACCCCCCAGCCTGCAAGCAAACCTTGCTCTTAAGGTTGGCTTATCAGGAGCTACATGTCTGTGGCTGCTGTCTTCAGTGCATGTAGTACAGTCTGTTCACTGACTTCACAGAAGTCTTCCACCTGACCCACTTCTCTGTTGAGGTGCTAACTGTATGTGTTCAGAATACTGTTCTTTATTTGTGGCATGCTGTATTGGATCCACATAGTGAGGAACTGTCCTAATAACTTACGTTATTGACCCACAACAGATAAATGACATTGACTCTAGCTTTTGGTTTTTTTTCTTGTTCTATTTCCTTCTTTTCTTTGTCTTTCTTGGTCAAGAGATCAAAGCAATTTGATGTATTATTTAGCACCATTTTTGGTGCAAATACAGTTTTAACCAAGCAGCGAAATAGAGGTTTTCTCTAAATGTGCTTGCCATTGTTTAAATTACTTCTAATCTGACTTTGGTAGCAGCAATATTTTGTGCCTGCTATATGGTAAATTACTTTAGCAACATGTAAACATTTTGTCTTAGGGTTTAAAGGAATCTAGAAATATCTTCTGGAAAGGAAAAAAGCATACACATGAGTTTATACATGTTTCTGTTTTGAATATTTCTATACAGATTTCCATTGCATATGAATTTGCACACAGATTATTTTCTTCTCTATCATGAACAGAAAGCACAATTATTTCTTTAATTAGATTGAAGAGCTGTTGCTTCATTCCCTGTTAACTTATCAGTTTCCCCAGCCAGGCTCACATTTCTTTCTGACTAAATTTCTCATGCCAGATAGTTGTCACTGATGCTGGAAATAGTGAAGAGGTAAATAAGACAGCAGGGTTTTAAAATTACTTCAAGCAAATTTGCAGATATCAGACACGCTTAGAAAGAAATGTCTCAAACTTTTAAAATTCAAGTGTATTTGAGGTGCTAGTTGATCCGTCTCCAAAAATTGAGAGCTTTTGCAGTCAGCTAAGATGTTGTCTTCAATTGCTTTTTGTCAAGATCACTTTCTTATTTTTTCTCCTTTGGTTTGTTCATGGATCTCAGACTTTATATCTCCTAGTAAAGTGTACAGATAGCTGAAGTAGTCTACGTACTGACAGCCACCAAATGGTCAAATGATATTTTTTCTTAGAGAAACCATAAACAGATTCCCTAATGATGAGTTATATAAGAAGGTTAAGTTAATCTCATCTTAAACTTCCATCTTTCACCGGTTCCAGTTCAGGGGCAAGATCCAGGTTCTCAATACTTGAAATGAAATCCTAAAATGGTATTTCATTTTCCTAATTACCAGAACTTGCCATCTGTGTAATTCCAAGGGTGGGAAGGAGCCCTCTACATAGGCTGCAGGGATCCATATATCACTCAGGAGTGTTTGGGGAAACTACTCCCCTGAGTGGGAGATCTCCTGAAGGTGGAGGTGCAGTCAGCCACTGTAGCTGACCATAACACACTCTGACTGAAATACAGAGATAGAGACAAGTGCAATTGTTGAGAAACATCTCCAGTGATGAATGTCACCCCAGTGGTGTACCTGTTGCCTATTATCAAATTGATTTGTATTTTATTATATCAGCTAGCCCAGTTTTAACTTTTTTTTAAACTGTTTGTACATGGCCCCATTGTAGATATATCAGATACAACGAGGTGTTATACCTACTGAATGCCTGTCTGGCAAGTGTCAAGGGAGCGTTAGACAAAAAAATATCTTAAAGCATGTCATTGCTTTTTAATGCACAAGAAATAGGGCCTCAGTTCATGAACTATGTTAAACCAATTGTGTAAAATGTCCATTGAAAAAGTGTGCAGTAGAGGGAGGGATCAGATTTTGTCAGAACTTGTTAAAATGTGTTCAGAACGATGCAGTGTCTGGAACAATGTTTGAAGGAAATAATACATACAGCAAAGCAGAGAGACGCATTCCCCAGTGTTTTGTTTTGTTTTGTTTTGTTTTTCTACGTTCCTTCATTTAGTGAGCTTTCTGTCTGATTTTCATTTGTGATTCTCTCTGTATTTCTTCTCAAATTGGGGCAACATTTGATTTCTTTATCATAAGACACCTTTTTCTAGTACAGAGTTACTTAAGGCTTCCACTGTATGTGTGTCTGCTTTGTTTTCCAGGAAGCCATTGTATGGATTGTTTCAATATAATTCCAGTATGATTGGACTGGAATCATTAGCCGATCCTTCAGATACCTGGGAAATTATAGAGACTATTGGGAAAGGCACTTACGGTAAAGTCTATAAGGTTGCCAATAAGAAAGATGGGAGTCTGGCAGCAGTAAAGATTCTGGATCCTATCAGTGTAAGTAAAAAATATTAAACTGTAACTTCATCTTTAGTTTTTTAGTTTAAAAGAATTCTTGGAGTTGAAGTGTAAATCCAATGTGTAAGATAATGAAAGTGTCCTGAAGGGAACAATTTTGTAGAATGCATTGACAGAAGGAGTTTGGTACCAGCACCTGGAAGCTGCAACTTACAATTTCATCATCTTGTGTGTTATTTTAGGACAGCATTTGCCTAGTTGCTCTTTTAGGTTTATGTAATTCTTCTGGTACAAATTTATATATCTGTGCTTGGAGCATGCATACGATAAGAAGGCGCAGGGAAAATACAAGATGCTGTTAATCTTAATGTTCTTATTTTATTTTGTGTACTCACTAAAAGAATTATTTTTCCCATCACAGAAGTACTGTGAACTTTAAGGTATTTTATAGTTATCTTTCATAAGTGGATAATACTGCAAGGCAATAGTTAAGGCAAAAACGGAAGAAGAGCACAGCCCAAATTGCCAGAGGTAGTTCTGTGCCAGCTCTAGTTTTAGCGGGTAGTAAATGCCTAGCTTCCCTTGAGAACCAAGGCCCTAGTTTTCAATGGAAGGTTTAATTGGTGGCTGCTCAGGTTGGATCAAACTGGAGCTTGGTCACAACAGTTGGGCTAAAATATTTACTAAAAAAGTTACATTTCTGTCATCTACCACTACTGAAATTCATCTTCATTTTCTCTTGTATAAATATAAATAAAGTAATAAATAAGATTATATCCTTTTTAGCAAAATGCAAAAAAAAGGAAAATGCATGTAGGAGCTTACATTTTCTAACAGGCACTGTCTGTGCAGGAACAACGAAAGATTCAGTGCTTAAGCACTGTTCTGAGTTGTGGCCTGTGTGCTGATATTAAACACTGTTTTGTAATTGACACTGAATTCTTTCATTAACAAATATTTAGTAGCATTTTCTTATTTCACGAGTTTTGTTTTGTCTCTCTGTATTTGCTTCTGGTGTATGTCTTTTCCTCATAAGGATGCCTTTGCTTATACTCATATCCCCTTTGAGGTTTTGTGAAATTATTCTGTTTGGTCCCATCTGATAAGCATAGAAAAAAAATGAATCAAAGGTTCATGTCTCTACTTTTAGCTTACACATTAAAAAACATGTATGTTTAAAAATGAGTTAGAAAATAATAGGAGTAAATTTCTTATTTAGACAACTGACCAAAGTTAAGTATAATTTTTACTTTTCTGGTTAAGTACATTGTGCACTGAAAGAATCCTTGAAGACTTCACATTTTGATATGTAAAAAAGCAAAAGTGGCATGATTTGGTGTGGATTAAATTTACAGTATTGTGTGAGTACTTTCAGCTGCATTAAAGTAAAATAATTTAAAAGTACAAACTAATTTAAAAATGGTTCTTTTTATCCATAAGAGTTTGTTCTTGATTTGCACGGACTTACTATGTTTATATGTTCTGTTTGTTTGTGTTTTTTATTTAGGATGTAGATGAAGAAATTGAAGCAGAATATAATATTTTGCAGTTTCTTCCCAATCATCCCAATGTTGTTAGATTTTATGGGATGTTTTACAAAGCAGATCAATACGTGGGAGGACAGCTCTGGCTGGTACTTGAGGTAGAAAACATTTTGATAAAATTACATATAAACTAGCAAATATTTTTGGGGTTTCTGGATTTTATTGCTAGAAGAGTCACAGGCTTTCATGATTCTCTGATTGGGGCCATTAATCAAAGAACTGGTGATAGATGATGTGTGGTAGTTCCTGTTGAATATCACAGCCACACTTCAAGTTTGTGTAATAGGGTTTGTCCTTGCATTTTATTTCTATTCAAGTTGCTACATTCTGCCTCCAAAGCAAGCGAATCCTCTTGATAAGAATGGTTTGCCTAAAAACAGCTTGATTTTTTTCATGTTGGAGGAAACATTAGATAGGACATTCCTCTAAACTTATGGAGAGCTCAAGCACTTGAGGGGTATGGAAAAGATACTGAAGTACTAGCATGGAGGACAGCTAACCAGTGTGCTGCCTGTTGCAAAAGTGAACAGAGAAAATGTAGTGGGAAAGTCTGTTTTATGGTAATTTAAAACTAGAGGCTGGTTGTTGTTGAAAACCTTACAAAAGGGATGCCTTCTACTAACTCTTCTTGTTCAGTGGCAATCAGTATTTTGGTGGTCTTGTTGTCAGTTAAGAGACTGACAATGTTTGTTGTAAGATTAAGATTTATTCTAGATGTTTTCTAGCCTTAATTGATACAGAGCTTTGTACACACTGAGCAGTAACAGACCATTAAAACATTTCTCTCTGTTATAACTAGACTGGTAAAAGTTAGCATTCACTTTTTAGTTACTCATCACTGTAGATATTAATGATCATGTTAGAAATTCCACTCCCTGCTCTTGAATGATGACTGGAATCAGAATACGGGGATCTTTATTTCCACTTTAAGTTGTGGAATACCAACAATACATCAAAGTTCTAGGTACTGCAGAATTATGTAGCTTGAATGAAATTTTTTTGATGTTTCATCTTAAATTTCAGTAACTATTAAAAAAAGAAGTATTAGTATTTTTGTTTTGGTCTTTTCACTGTATGCCTGCTGGCTTTGTGTTGAGTTTGGGCTTGGTTTCCAATGTGTTTACTTTTTTAATACAAGTCTAATGTATCTGACAGATGCATCACATGTGTTACATTCCATGTAACACAATTTTGTAAAGTAAAATCATGACATATTCTATGTAACAAAATTGAATTTAGAATTTGAGACAAAGCTAGGTGCTTGTACAGACCTTATCAAATAAGTACGTTAATTTCAAGTGTGTTTTGGTACACGTTATCCAAAGTTCTAAAGAAATTTGACATTTAAAATATTGTGTTTTCCTTATATGGATAAATTTACCAGATAAGGTACACTACTTCTTGCCTTTGAATTTACATACAAATTTATGTATGCATAGCAGTTACTTTTAATATTATAAATTAATGACACTTTTTCAGTAAAAGGGCATATACAAAGTACTCAGACCTTCATCCCTGAATCTTTGTTGATTTGTTGAATTCATTGGATGTATGACTTCCAAAATTTGTAATTAAAAAGTGGATTTTTTTTTTTCCTTTGGGCACAATTTTGGCATGTTTACTCACTGCAGGCAGGACCTTACTTTGATAAATGCCTATGATGAGGAAGGGTATAAAAAGTGGACATGTTAAATGTTTTTATGATGGTGCAATTTACTACATAAGGAATTCTAGAGATAAGCATTTTGTATTTCTCAGATAGGTGTAGCACAGACAACTGTAAAGCAAGCTTCCCTACTTTTCCAGCTAAATCTGCATCAGTCCATAAGGTATTACCATTAGGTACAAAAGTGGTAATGAAGTTTACAAGTTCAGATCTTTGCTGGCTGTCAAGAACAGTTGTCACTGATAGCTGCAGTACTCTTTGTGGGATATATTTATTTTCAGAGTCAGTCATTCATTTAACGTATGCTACCAAACAGCTGTCATTCTCTATAATTTTTCGGTCACAACCAGCTTGGGTTTTGTTTTTTTTTTTTTTAAGTGAGGGCATACTTTTCTATATTTTATTTGCAGGCTAGAGTTTAGTACAGCCTGTCTCAGTAGAACATTTAGAGCAATGAAAGCAATAAATAAAAATCTTCAACTTAATGGCTTGTCAGTGAATGGTTAAGCATGGAAAGAAGAACATGCGCTTTCTCTCACAAGATGATGAAGTTCTCCTGTAAATATATCTGATGAGTGATTATTGAGCTGAATGCTGCCACCCAATTGATTAAAAAAAAATATTCCATACTAATAAATTAAAAAGTAAAGTCAAATTCCTGCAGAACTCATCAATGTCTTAATTGATGAAATTTTGTTTCAGGAGCTTATTTGTATAAAGGATGTCTTGTTTATCATGTGATCTGGTCTTTTCCATGAGCTAAAACTTTCAGTCTAGTGAAATTTTTTTATGCAAGGGGAAGTTAGTAATAAATGAAGGAAAATATCAACATATCACTGAATTTAGTGATTGAACTGATACACAATTGGTAAATGTTATTTGAGAGATGCAAAACTTGAGAATTTGTAGAACTTCTGTTTTCATACCACTCTCCTGATTTATGCTGTAGTATTTTAAATTTAATACTGATACTGTAAAACGAATGTGTGTTGAAATGTATGCGATTCCTATATGGCAGAAGCGTTGGTAAGGGTGCTGGCCACAAAAACAGGTCTAGAGAACTCAATGGAAGAAAGGCAATCAATTATCCTTTTTTTTCCCTTGTTTTGTCAAACAATTGTGAGTATTAAGGTAAAAAAAGAATAGAGAAAGAGGAAAAAGGAAAGAGGGGAATAGCTGCTTAGAAGGGCATAGACACTAAACTAATGGTGTAGGAGAAAACATATTTACAAGGATTCTAGTTTTACTTTTTCTCCTCCTCTTTTGATGTATGGCAACCCATTAATGGGAAATGCTTTCAAGAAGTTGCTTTTGTGGATCAGAATGTTTCATCTCAGGAGCACATGCCATCAAATCTGACTATAGAGATGTATCTTCTGTCTATATTGCCCGCCAGCAGGAGCATTGATGGAGTGAAAGTTTAAAATGACTGTAATTTGTTGCCTCCCAGTTATCAAGAACATCAGTCTTTTCTGTCTGGCCTTTTCTTTGCACGAAAGTAGATTTTCAAAAAGCCAATGCATGTATTATTGTGAAAATACTCAAATAATGTAAATTTGACTTATAAATCCTCTTTTAACAAGATACAACCCTGTTCATAATATTTTAATTTTTAGTTACATTTTATAAATTACACATTATAATCTTCGGTTTTCACTTCACCCAGGTTGCTGTGATTTATTATTAACATAGTTAATAGGGTATGTTCTAAGGTGGGGTGACAACATAAATAATGACAAGCTAAAAATCTAGTTGTTCCCAGACTTGTGTTGTAGAGCAGTTTCACACAGTAATTGTTCACAGCCTGAACAAGTATACTGAGTAACCGAGGACTTGTCTTGATTTTTCCTACCTTGCAACTCCCCCTTTCACAGCTGTGTAATGGAGGTTCTGTCACAGAGCTTGTCAAAGGGCTGCTGAAGTGTGGCCAACGGTTGGATGAAGCTATCATCTCGTACATCTTATATGGTGCTCTCTTGGTAAGGATGTTGGTTGGGCTTGTAATGACAGCAGAGGGTGCAATTTACTCATCTCATACATACATTTTCCGTTTATAAACTATGGTAATGTTGACAATATTATGTGGGCTATTATAGCAGCAGGGGTTATATCAAGCATGTAATCCGATGGACAGATGTTTCTGTAGAGTATGTGCAGATTGTCTTCATTACATTCCCTAATAGTAGGGTAAATGTTTTTAAATAAGGGAGTAAACTTATTTTTATTACTGCTGGTATATAGGGCCTTCAGCATTTACACAATAACCGGATCATTCATCGTGATGTGAAAGGGAACAACATTCTCCTGACAACAGAAGGTGGAGTCAAGCTCGTTGACTTTGGTAATGACCACTTCCCATTTGTTTTCCTGATACATGCAGTTTAGCCAAAGGCATCTGTTTACTTTCCCCTGGGAAAGCAGAATGCCATAGTGAGAGACTTTTTTGGAAGGATACTCAGAATTATTTTAAGAAGAAAAAATGGAAAAGGAACCTGATACAGCAAGTTTAAAAATTCTAACCAAAAATCAGTAATAAACTTTTTTCCCTAGAAGCTCAAATATAGTAATTTAATAATTAAAAATAGTTCTGAAGGCACCATTTTATTTACAGAGCTCTTTTGCATTTCACAAGGAATGTCAGTTTCAGGGCAGTTGTCCTCCTAATTTAAATTTAGATATTCTGTCTTTTGCATATGAAAAGGAAGCATTCTTCTCTCTGAAATGGCTTTTTCTAGCCTTAAGCATGTTTTTTCCCTCTGAGCAGAAGGTAAAATGGTCCCCTGGGTCCAAAACCCAACATCCATTTAATTTGTGATTATTGCTGTTAGATTTGAGGATTGCCAGTCTGGAAACATCATAAGAAACGGGGAGAGAGAGAGAGAGAGACAGACAGACAGATAGATGGATAGGCAAAGGGACTTGGCAGTAGAATTTAACTCAGTTCAGCAATTTCTTTTGCCTTTAAATGTGCTCTTAGAAAAATAAGGAAATGCTGTAGTCCCTCAGATATGTATGCAATGGAATGGACAATTTTATTAAAGGTATCAAAAACAGGTTATTCGTAATATTATTTACTAATGAAACTATATAATGCATAATGTAATCTTTATTGAGAATTGTGTGAATAACAGATGTTAGCAGTGCATGAAGGTAAAGACAAATGTTCACCAGAGGAGACAAGTGTAAAATGGTGTGCTAAAAAAGTCTGTGTATAGTAATCTTTTTTAAAAAATCCAAAAATACTAGATTGATGCAGTGGAAAGAATATTTAGTACTGATGTTGTCATGGTATTATAAATTTAACATAAAAATCTATTGAAGATGCTAAAGTAAGTTGGGAAAGAGAAGACTCTTTAGTATCTTCTAGGGACAGAAATTCTGTTGAATGGTAAAGGCAACTATTAAAATAGTGCTGGGAGAAGCATGGTGTGATGAAAAACTTTGAGTGAGTCCCTAACCTAATATAAGGGAGAAAGATCCCTTCTCATTTAGGAGAATTTTGGCAGTATGAACTTTGTTTGTAACTACTCCATTCTAGGAAAAGTTGGCTTTTCTCCCCAAAGCAAAACGTTTCTATCAGATGTATCAAAGGCCTTAGGTGCAACACAAGCTCAGCTTGGAGCTCTGGCTTCCAAAGGCAGATCAATGTGCTGCTACTCCAAGAGGCACATTCAAGGAAAGTGAGAATCCCAACCCCTGTCCTGTGTGTCTGTATGACTCCACATTTAGGGTTAGGGGTTTTTTTTCTACTTTTCCAGCTACACCAGTAACACTAGAACATTGCAACAAATATAACTACCTCAGAAAAAGACATGAGTTAAATCTTGAGTGTTTCCTAACGCTTAAGGGTTAGGAAACACCAACAAATGGCCACATGTCTGTGTGCTTCCTAATTAAAGAAGCATCAGGCACCGAGCTTTCATGAGGTTGCTGTTTTTCTCCTCTAGCCCACTGCCGTAGTCACAGAAGGGACTCTGGGAATGAATTAAGACTGAGTCACAGGTGTTAATTGTTTGTAGAACTGTTTGTCTTGTATGTTGCAGAAAGTGGAAGGTATATAGTGAAAAATGCAAGGAGTTCAGGAAAAGAAGGAACTCGCTGTTCAGACAGTTGAATGACTTCAAATTGGAGACTGTTCTTGCTTCTGCCAGTGTTCCTCTGTGATGTTGGCAGGTCACTTGCATCAAACTTAGAAGTGGCCACTCTGTTCCTCATTTTCCCAATAGCCAGTTTGGAACATCTTGTCCTCCTTTGCAGAAGAGCTAAGTGTTCTTGAACTGCAGCTGAGAACTATTACAGCTCTCCTTGAGGCATGTGGAGTGCCTGGAAATTGAAAGATCTGAGATAAAGTACCCAAAAACAGTGGATGCTCTGGATATTTTTAGGTTAATCCCTGGAACTAATAATCCTCTCCCATTTTTCAGGAACGTTAAGGAGATTTATTGCTTGATGAGGAAGGAGGGAAACATCAAAAGGAAAAGAAAATAATAATTTTAAATTTAATATAGGGTTGGATATACTAAATAGCTAGAACTCAAATTGATGGGGATAAAAAAATACTAAATGACTACCTATTCATTGCACACTATCCATTCTGTTCACAGAATGAGACAGAATCTTGAAGGAAAAAAAAGTTACTTCATATTCAAGGCTGTGCATATGCATAGTAGGTCAAAGAGAGGATTACACAGATATCCTAAATTGAGCCCTTTTTTTTTTTTGCCTTTATTGCATGACTTTACAACTTGCTTTTTTCAGTGTAATGCATATTTCTTCCATGACTGTTCTCGACAGCATGATATATTTGAATAAATGTTCGGCATAGTCTAAATTGACCCAGAATGTCTGCAACTTATCATTCATTTGTGCTCATGCTCACTTACTGTCTCCTGCTGTCTCCCTCTCTCAGCTCTTTGGTATTCTGCATGTTTTTGGGGTGTCTGTAGATAGCAGCCACAAATTGAGCTAGCTGAAGAGAGATCAGAGTTAAATGCACAGAGGCATAGGTCCTAGCCATTCACTGTTTCACAGCGGTACTCAGGAAATCACTGAAGGCTTGCCATCACACTGAAAAATGAAAAATAAATACAGAATTGAATCTTGGAGCCAGCAATCAAATTCTTTAACTTACGGATTGAGTCCAAATTTCTCGTTTATTGGCATCAGGCAATGTGTATTATATGTGTTTCTGCCCATTTTCGTCTCTGGGTAATGCCATAGGAGCAGACCACTGTGATTTTTGTTTGTTTTTAAACAATGTTAAGGTGAAATATTTTTAAAGTCAATATTGGTTTTGTGTCAGCTTATTGGAACACTCCTCAACTCTACAATTCAATTACATGTTGACCAGAGCACAGATTTGCTATGAATGCTCGTTCTGATTTGTTAGCATTGTTTGATTTCACTGTAGTTCTTTCTCCCTTTTTACAGCTGTGCTTCAGTAGTACAGCCCCAGTCAGCTAAGCACTGGAGCACAGGCTTTGTTTTAAGCATGTGCTGAACTCCGTAAGTACAAGCTGCAGTGTGAGCTTGAGCCTCTGTGCTTTTCTCAATTGGGAAAGATTTAAGCAAGTGCGTAAATGTTTTGTTGAACAGAAGCCTCTGCAAATACTCCAGGGAACAAGTTTCCTGCCAGCAGTGTTCAGGGAGTAAATTTCTGAAACAGTAGTTTTAAAGTCAAGTTGTAATTTGAATAGTTCCTGTTTATACTCATGAAAACAGCAGAAAGAAGCCTGTGATATTTAGGTGCCAACTGAATTTTTGAGTTTGAATGAAAATACTTCAAACTGAGGATTGTTCACAAAAACCTCTCAGCAATTCTGAAAGAAAGCAGCAAGCTGAAATTAATCATACAAAGAATTCAAATGCTGCACCTACTTTGGCCAGGCATTCTTCATCTGTATTCCCAGGCTTGAGGTTTGTTTTCCTCATACTTGAAATAAACTGATTGAAATGACAGAGTGAATGTGAAGCCAAGTTTTCTGGATCTATTTTATTGCAGGTGTTTCAGCCCAGCTCACCAGCACACGGCTGCGTAGAAACACGTCAGTGGGAACACCCTTTTGGATGGCACCTGAGGTAGGCAAACATTCCTGTCTGGGTTGTCTCCATTCATTGCAATGCACACTTTGTTACCACTTCCACAAAGCAGAAGAAAAGGGGATCTTTTCTTCCCTCCCCTGTGGTTGTGTTCCTACTTTACATCTAGGCCCCTGTTCAGTAAAATGATTGTACTGTTAGAGCATACAAAATGGATTTCTAATAATCTTCATTGCTTTCTTCTCTGTAACGTTTCTGTAAAAGTACAGATAATCTGCAAATAATTGAGGGTCTCCTTGAAAATTTTATGACTTTCCAATCAAATACTGTATGTTTTGGTGTGCTTGTCTGTGCCTCTAAATACAGACTGGGAGGAGAAGGAGGAGCAGCACTGGAACAGGCTGCCCAGAGAGGTTGTGGAGTCTCCTTCTCTGGAGACATTCAAAGCCCGCCTGGATGCGTTCCTGTGTGATCTGATCTAGGTGTCCTGCTCCGGCAGGGGGATTGGACTAGATGATCTTTCGAGGTCCCTTCCAATCTCTAACATTCTGTGATTCTGTGAATTCCCACATTCCTGTCTTGTAGGACTCTGCAAAACCCTGACTCAGCTATGTGTTCTTTAACCTTAATCATTGACTGGGGACCTACACACTTAGACACGTGGACTAGCATAGATTAAAAGTGTAGAAAAATAATCTTCAGGCAGCCTAGCCAAGTATCTTAGACCATGTTTTTTGCATGCTGCTCCCCAGACATAACCCTTTTCCTTCTATTTTATGGAGCTCTAGGAAGTATTAACACACTATTGAACAGAAGTCCCTTATGTACTTTACCTAAATTTGAGGTGAACTATGTTAATCTTTGCTATCCCTGCTTTAAGAAACAACAAATACTTTTGTAAGGTAGAGATTATGAAATTAAAAAAATAGGGAATGAAAAGGGAGTGATCGGTTTATTTGTAAGTTAAACCTTAATAACATTATTAGCCTAATTTCTTTTGAAGGCCATTAGGCTTATTTGAATTTGGGGGAATTTGGGATGGAATTTGCATCTGTTACAAATGCCCACAGGTCTATTTCTGTATGTCAAACAGTTAAAAGTATCATGCAAACCTTTGTTTTAAAACATTTTATATTTTTATACATCTATTTCTGTTGCTAAGGAAGGCTGATTATAGCTGAGCAGAGAAAAGAAGCTGCTGTAACGGATCCAAAATTGATCTTGCACAGTGTCAAAAAGAATGGTTGATATTTTACCATCTCCATAACAACCAGTTTACGTCACAAAGGAGACACAAGATACCTTAGAAACCACTGTGCAAGCATTATTTATGGAATCACCTTGGTTGAAGACATTCTGAAACCTTTATAAAATACTCCTTTAGACAATAATGGACATATTATGAAATATTTTATTGAACTCAGATTATTAGAAGTTATTTTTACAGAACTGTTTTGCTTGAATAATTGCCATCACAGGCAGTAATCATACCGAATTTATTTTCTCATCCTGTTTGAAAATATTCATTTTTGGGCTAAAAAGTCAAAGAAATAAGCAGAGATTTTGATGTGAAAAATTTTGACCGGAAAGTACAACACACGTGTGACCAGAGTATGTTCTGTGCATAGCACATGAAAACAGGAACAGAAGTAGCTTTGAATGCTTCCTGTTTTAAAAAAAAAATTGTCAAAATAACTAACCCAGTACCATAAGCATAGTAAATCATACCACATATACATGCCTGTGTGAGCCACACTGATCAGGCTTCATCAATGTACCAATCTGAAAAACAGCTGCGATGCTCAGATACCCATTATGTTTTTGTTGAAATGGCTTTTAAATGGCAAGTTGCATAACAGTCGCGCTCAGCTCAGTACAGTTGCTTTCTTTGTGTTCATATGAATGACGTATTTTAACTGACTTCTGGGGGCATCTTTCTGGTATTTTTAAAATGTTCAGACAAATTTTTATGTAAAAGATGAAAGATTAGGACTGCAATAAAATGAAAAATCTCTGCTTGAGTAGCAGCTTATTACAAACAGTGTTTTCTAGGTGAGACTGTGGTGAGGTAGTAAAAACTAGAAAAGCCTCTAACAGTTGCAAAAATCTTGCTGCCCACAGGTTTTGACATAGGATGGAATCTATGTCAAACCCAAAAATACCATAAAATAACAGAACAGGAACGAAATGTTATGAATCAGAGAAACAGAAAGCATGAAGACTAAGATTTTTTTTTTTTAAATGGACTTTTACTATCGTGTCTAAAACATACGAACCTCAGTCAAGACATAAGGCAATCAGGACCTCGTTTTATCTAAGGGTGAGAAAGATGGATTTAATCTGAAGGGGAGGTGGAGGGGAGATGAAAAAGCTTGTTTTGGAGGAAGATACTACAAGAGTGTTTCAGAAAAATGAACCTTGTGAAATTAAGCTGACAGGGAATATTTTCCAGGGTAGACCCCGGGAAAATAAAAGCTGGAGAAGAATGATGCAAGATTATTCAAGCTGACAGACAGGAATAACTGAATATAAGCAGGAGACAAATATGGAAACTAGACTTACTAGACCAGCCTGGATCAGGAACAGTCTGTGTAATGAGGAAAACAATCGTATTTTAAGATTAAGTTTATAATCATAAGGCATGGTACTTGCAATAGCAAAAGTTCATAGGAAAATAGCAGTGACTGAGGGTCGTGTGAGGTGTTCTGTTCAGCTTAGTGTTCTTACTGGTCAACACAAAAAGCAAGCAGCTTAACAGTTTTGAGTGACTTAAACAGAGTCACAGTCTTATGACTGTGGGCCTTGTTTAGCAGCAACAGGACAAATCAAAAAGATTTGTCTTTGAGCATTTGTTTTGAGCAGAGCATGGGATTAACTAAAATTTTGCTGAAAAATGAAAATACAGGGAAAAACTATTCTGTGTGGAAGAAACAGAGGAACAGAAGGATGAGTCACTTTGAGAGCAGCTTTAAAGTAGACTCACTGAAAATCAATCATTGCTGTTTAACCCAATTAGTATTGTCTCATACTTACAAACATAGACATTTCGAAACTGGAACACTGAATACAGGCATGCCAAAAAAAAAGAGAAATAAGGCAAGATAGTTTAACTGTGGTGGATGTTTAAAGCTGCCTGTTGCCAAACATGTTACCTAAAATCTTCTTCTATTATGCTGAAATAAATGGTGTTGAATGCTGTCAGGAGGAATCAGATTTGAAACTTTTGAACTGAACTGCCATTACATATCTAGTTGTAAACCTTAACGTGTCTTTTTTTCAACCTTCAGTGCAGAACTGAACAAAATCTAGTTCAAATAGAATTGCAGTTTTCCTTTTTCCCGGATATAATTATATTATCATGATCTAGCTGGAAACTTGACCCTTGAAACAAGATCTGTTGGAATCTGTACATATTTTCTTTGGCCCAAATCTAGTTTTAAGAAGAGAAATAGAAATATAAAAAGATACTTGAAGTCAGACAGAAATGGAGAGATGCTGAAGGTAATTTAAAACCACAGGGAGTATGCTGCTATATTTTACTGATAAATGCTAAAAATGACAATGGTGCATACATACGTATGTTTTAAAAGGACATATTTAAAACATAGCTGAAGTTTGAAGGATCATGTGTTGCAATATGACACGTGACAGTAGGAAAGGCTGAGACATTTGTAAAGGTATCAAAAGAGTTCTGTTGTAATGAGTTAACCGGAGGTAAAATCTTGACTCTGTTTTGGTATTGATTTCAGATGTCACACCATTTTTTAAAGCTGTGTCAGCTCTGTATTTTGGATATTTGTAACCATACTGCTAAGATGAAGTGATGATCAGTAAGACTGCCCTAGAGACAACAGATTGTTTTCCTTCCCCTCCTGAATCAAGACATACTTTCTGGGATAAAATGCAGTACATCTGAGCATCAGAATAAATTTATGAAGTGTTGGAACAATAGGTGACCAGTTTAATTTGCCTTTCATTTTCCAATGTTCCTTTGTGTTTTTTTAAACTTTAAATCTGGTCATATGTGTGTGCAATAAGTCTAATCCTGAAACAATGAATAATATTTGCAGTTTCAGTATGAAGCTGTGTCTCTGCTCAATCAACCAAACTGGTGAAAACAAAGCCCCCAAAATCATTTGTATTAGTCTAGTTGAACAATACATAAAGGGAAAAATCTAATTTTGCAAAGACTAAGAGCAGCTTTTCCACTGAAGTCAATACTCACTACTTACTGTAGGGCTGTATTCAGTCCTTAGTATTTGGTCAAAAAAACATTATTCTTTTGGTAGATTATGGCTGAGTTCTCTCATTTACCTCTGTATTGGAGATATGAAAAATTAGCAAAAAAAATATTTCAGTGTAAATATATTTTGTGTGTAGTTAAATGCTGAGTTGGAAAAACATTGTAGAAAATTAACAACTTGGGCTTAAGTTTTTAATTAACTCTGGAGACAGGTACAGTGATACATTCCCCTGAAACTATTGAATATAGTCTTCAACCTATCTTATTTGCCAGCCCTTTGCTTACATCATGAGACTCAAGGTCAGCATCCTCTTAATAGCTTTAGGTCTCTTCACTTTAATTCCTTATTAGCTAAAATTAACCGTTCTGATATGCACATTTTCGCTTTCATATTCACTTTTAAATGCCAGCTAAGCATGGAATTTTGTAAATGCTGATTCATAATGAACTGTAAGAATCCACCACTTAGTATAAATAAGATACAAATTTCAAGAATGTATATGCACTAATTTTTCTGCCTGAAAGCCATTTAAAAAGTTTACTGTGAAACAGTATGCATATTTTGTGATAAAGAAACTTAAGGAACTATGAACCTTCTCTAATAAGGAAAATTTTGAAAATATTTCCTTATAGCATCTTCCATGAAGGTGTAATAACTGTTCTCTTACAGCTAGTTATACGATAGAATACTGAATTAGCTCTTACTACAGTTCTTTTTTACCTCTTGAAGTACAGTAAATGAGATAAGATTGAAAACGAAATTTACAAAAAATAACTGATTGTCCTTAGGAAGAAA